TTTTTCCCCTGTTGCTGGCTTAGCACTATTTATCCTTGAGTTGGCAGAAAATGATATTGGCATGTAATTCATTGCCCATATTGCTGATTCCTCTCTTCCTGATCAACAACGGTCATCTCATTTTCTCTCACATAATAATTGACAAAGCCCAACAGATTTATAATGTCTTGAGGCTTCTCTTGGATGATGAATAAAGAGGAAAACATTGCTTTAGCTAGAGCAAAGGATGATTCAAGTCTATAGTTGAGGAAAAAAATTGAGAAAAAAAAAAGCAATATCATGCAGTCATAGCAGAAAAATTGATATTGCCAGAGCAAGTTTTTAGTGTGGTTATGTACGAACAAGGAAAGGTTGTTGATTAAATTAATTATGTATGTGAACCAGGTCATTTCCTTTAACTTATCATACAACTTACTAGGTCTGTATCACTACTTTTCACGCTATTTTCTTTCTAGGTAGCCTTATTCCTAGAATACCGATATTCTGATAGTTACATCTGTCAGCAATGATGTTACATCTATCATGTCTCTAATCCTTCAGCTGGCAGTAAAGTATGGTTGCCGACTTTGCACTACCTTCAATTCCGAGACCTATTTTGCTTCAGTAATGAGGCAAGGAAGGGGTGCGGTCCTTACAGTTTTAATGTGGAAAAAGTTAAAGAAAGCAACTGGTTTCCTACCCCTGTTTAGTTTTCCACCAAATCTCATCAGCTGTTGGAGGTAGGGGGGGTATCCACCAATCATTTTCTTTAACGTGGATTGTATCTGGACAAGAGGTGAGCTTTGACAGGTGTTTAGACTTGTTAAGGCTTGCTCTGTTTTTACTTAAGTGTTTTTGTACAGGTGTGCAGCTGATACTCTGGCTCCTTTTAAACAAGGATCAAACTGATTTATGAATAGCTCTATTTTGGAATAGCACTAAATTGTTCTCCAAAAGGATAAGCCCAAACTTTATAGGGAGAGAAGTGGCTGTTATGAGGGCAAGTGAAACCCTCCCCCCCACCACACTTTGCAATTCTCCCTTGTCAATTGCTTTACCAGGGTGCCTCACCCATCCTGCAGATCTGGGGTTGTAGCTGTAGTGGGAAGGTGCTTTCCCACTTTAGGGAGAGAGACTGCATAACTTGTGTCTAAAACAGTCTGATGGGTGCAGTGGGAACCATGTAATGAAGCAGGATCTCCCATTTCATGGTAACCCAGCAGTGCTAGTCAGCTGCTTCTCAAGCTGGCTCACAGGTCCTGGCTATACGCAGCAAACTCTTTCACCACCAGATTGCCATGTCATCAGATGTCCATTGACAGAAAATATCAGTTCCCCATCTCTTCTCCTTCCCACTCTACATGCTACCCTATCTGTAGGACTGCCAGGAGGAGTCAGGAGAGATAGCTTTTGAGTCCAGAGGAAAAGGACCAGACCCTCCTGCTGCCAAAATCAAAATATTCCTGCAACAACAACAACAACAACAACAACAACAACAACAACAACAACAACACCTGCCCAGGGAATGGATGGCAGTAGGCATAGAGGCATTCAACAGCCTAAAATAGCCAGTGAAAGGTAGACAGATCTGATTGTATCATTGACCACATTGTCAATGAAGGGACCAGAAGGATCAACGTCTATCATGTGCAGGAAAATCAAATAAACCAACCACGAAAGTAAGTTGTCCAGCCTCTTCTTAAAAACCAACAACCTTCACAGGTACATTTTTCTGCTATTGCAAATTTCTTAGTAAGTTTTACTTTAAATGAAATCTAGATGAATGCAGTTTATAGTTATTTTAATAATTATTTCTGACATTATTTTATGTGGTCATTGAAAGCACTTTTTGATCATTTTCACTGTAGTTTCCCTTTATGGCCCTGAACATGGCTATCTTGTCTTTCCTTCTCTTTTTTGTCTCCATACTGAACATCCCAAGTTCCTTTAGTCAATACTCCAAGGCCAAATTCACTCATACTACAAGGCTTATATCAGGGAAAAAAACGAACACTAACTTAACATCCAAAGAACTATGATGAGCATAAGCCACCTCCATGTTTAGTAGGGAGTGAGATGATGGAAAGAGATATTCTTTAAGAATAGTTACTGAGGCAGCTTTGTGACAAGGTTAATAGGATGTATCAGTTATATAGACCTGCCACAAAATGAAAGTCAGATAGCTGATGCCAGTCTGGTTTGAAAAGAGAAATTCGTCAAATCTCTCTTGGAAAAAAAAAATGGTTTTTTAAAATTCTATACATACATGCACCTTTAACATTCATGGTATCAGAACATCTCTGCTTAGGTCAAATGCATATAAAAAGGTTATATAATACATTAGTGGAAATAGATTCAGAAACAGAGTTAGTTAAGGACTGTATGATAAAATGGGCACAAAACGTAGGTGAACCAATAATGATGGAAACATGGGAAAAGATATGGGTTAGAAATGTAAGATTTACACAAGCACAAAATTTAAGGGAGAATTTTTATAAAATGTTTTATAGATGGCATTTAGACCAAAAAAAGTTAGCCTGTATGTATTCAAACTTACAACCTAAGTGTTGGTGATGTGAGTGTAAAGATGCTACATATTTTCATATATGGTGGACATGTAAAAAAATTAAGGCATTTTGGATAAAAATATGGTGGATTATTCAAAACATTTTAAAGAAAAAAGTCAAATTTACGCCACAGTTTTTTCTGTTGGGAATAGTCATGGATTGTAATGTAATAGAGACTAAGTTGGTTTTGAACTTAATAACGGCTGCCAGGTTACTGGTGGCACAGTACTGGAAGAAGGAAGATCCACCCACCATTGAGGAATGGACATTAAAAGTTGTGCACTTGGCAGAAATGGCGAAAATTTCATCATCATCATCATCATCATCATCATCATCATTATTATTATTATTATTATTATTATTATTATTATTATTATTCAAATTTCTATACCGCCCTTCTCCTTTCGGACTCAGGGCGGTGAACAGCCAAGATAAAAACATCTATACAAACATCACAGTTAAAAATAAAGTTAAAATAATTTATAAATGTGGCCCATAATTTAAAACTTGTCAATTAAAATCAATATTAAAATTTTAAAACTAACCCTAAAATCAAGACAGACTGGCTAACTGAAAAAAATAAGTTTTTAGGGCCCGACGAAAGATCCGAAGGTCGGAGATCACTCGTATCTCTGGGGGTAGATTGTTCCATAGGGTAGGTGCCACCACAGAGAAGGCTCTCCTCCTGGGGGTCGCCAGCCGGCATTGTCTGGCCGACGGCACCCTGAGGAGCCCTCTCTGTGGGAGCGAACCGGCCGGTAAGAGGCTATTGGTGGCAGAAGGCGGTCCCGTAAGTACCCTGGCCCTAAGCCATGGAGCACTTTGAAGGTGATCACCAACACCTTGAAGCGCACCCGGAAGTCCACCAGAAGCCAATGCAGCTTGCGCAGGAGAGGAGTCACATGGGAGCGCCCCGTCACTCCCATAATCCCCCGCGCAGCCGCATTCTGCACCAGTTGGAGCCTCCGGGTGTACCTCAAGGGGAGCCCCATGTAGAGAGCGTTACAATAGTCCAGACAAGAAGTGACAAGTGCTTGAATGACCGTGCGTATCTTAAAGATCATTCAAATGAAAGATACATATTGGAATGGAGAAGATGGATTGATTATATACAGAAGAAGTATCCGAATAAGAAGATTCATATAGCATATGAATGAAGTAATCTTAAGTAATTTATGTTTGTTTTTTGAATTATAAGGAGTTAAGGATCAAGGGAGAATATGAAATGTAATAATTTGTTAGCATATTTTAGCTTTTGATTTGTGAATGCTATACCCTGTGCTTGTTCTGGGAAGTCTAGGGAGCGGGGTGGGGGGGGAAGGAGGGGAAGGGGTGGGTGGGAAAGGGAGGGGGGTTGAGGGGGGAAGGGTGGGGGGATGAAAATGTTTGTACTTTCTATAAAACTTTTCAATAAAAAAAAAAGAACATCTCTGCTTCATCTCTGCTTGTTTCCAAATTTAAATGTATTGGTCCAAGTTGTTCGGAGGCTTATCTATCTAATAGTAATCATTTTCTAGCAAAACTAAATACACTGAAGACAATACAAATCAAAATAACTTGATTATCTTCCTAAAATTGTTATAAAGAAGAGTCAGGCGAAAGCCCTTTTGTTTTTTCTTGCCACAGCTTTCATCATTTATCTGATTCATTTTGAAAACTAGATGATCAAGTAGTGATGTACCTAATAATGATCCCTTCAACATACCTATGAACCATATGTTCTGCAATAATTTTCATAGTATTTGCAGAAAGGATGCTAGTCCAGTCATGCAAGCTGATAGCTATAATTGATGCTCAAAATAGTTCTTCAAACATTCCTGTTTGAAAAATCCTGTTGCAATCCAAAGGGGTTGCAGCATCTACTAAAGTCATACTCAAAGATTTTTCTAATACTTTAAGGACAAGCCAAGCTGAGACATTAATTGCATGAATGCAGAGAAAAAGCATGATACTGCAATAGTACACCCTGAGCAGAATCAAAACCCCAGGAAGTGGGTGGAAGATTGTAACATTTGTGTCCCCTTTAATCTTGATGAAAAGGGTCTCTCATTCCAACTTCTGTTGCAAAAAGAAAGAATTTTCCAACTCTCTTTATTTAGAAGAACCTGGTTTGGTTCTAAATTATTTTCAGCATGTATGTAATATGAGAACTGAAGCCCTTTTCAGTTCCCATAACATCAACTTATATTTTATGTTGATTGTGATTATCCCCTTCATTCACCTAAAACTAGTATATACGATCTCACTTATAAACATCTGTTTGATATATGAAAGCTTTGGAATTTTCTCACTTCCCCCTTCTCCTCCAATAAAATCCCCATCTTACTTTCAAAGCAGCTATATTAAAATGAAAATCTTTAAACTGAAACAAATAAATCTTCCTTTACAAGAACAATAAGATTGTCAGATGGATGGATACCATGCAACAGCATGTAATGTGTAGCAAATACTCACTAGAGGTAAGAAAGTGAGCAGAGGGCGGACTCTTGGACGTGGTTTAAGTGTGGCTGTTCCAGAATCTGTCACTGACCCAAAGCGATTACCGCCATAATAAATGCCATCCAGTTCACCTAAAACAAAACAAATAATATAAGTAAATAAGCAAAGGAACGAAGACCAAATGTTGTGTTTGAGATGAGCTCTCAACTTCATAAATTATTCCACTGTGTTTTTTCATCTAGCAATTCCTACCACCTAAACAGTTTGTAATAATATTTATCCATGAGATATAGCAGATACCTTTGACAGAGGGCCTTAACTAACGGGTATTAAAAACAGAAGCACATCAAAGGTCACCATGGTTTCACAAACACTTGGAGGCCACTTCAAATTATTTTATGCATAGAATCTAAAAATCATTAGAATCATTCTAAAGATGCAGCCTAAACTTGCCATAAAATACAACCTCAACATGTACTCAGAAGCCTCTCTGTCATTATATCAATATGATACAAGATGAACCAGCAAATATGTAAAGCCTTTCATTCTCAGCCTTGCATTCTTACAACCATTGTAGAACTTGTATGGGAATTAAAAACTGAGCTGGTTAACTATGAGCTCAATTCCTGATCCAAAGAAAAGACTGTAAAGACTTCCTCTTGGGCTATGGTGTGGAACTATTTCCATTTCCAAAAGCTCCCTATTGCCATGTGCCTGGTCACCATAACATCAATGTCTTTCTCCTCCCAGAACTAATTGATGGTGTTTCTGCTTGCTATTATTAGAAGAAAAGTAGGAGGGAAACAAATAGAAGAGAGTGGACTGATTGGAGCATTCAATTTTGTGCTTCCTTTTGGCGACCAATTTCCCTTGCTAGTGGGCAGGTGGCAAGGATTGTCAGCAATCCCAACTGACTTTACAGTTCCTGCAGGCTTTCACATTAACTTTCAGGATGATGAAGCTAGTAAGAAGTTGCACGTCCAAGGCCACCAGTTGGGTAGGGGAATGAGCAAAGGGGTGTATGAGTAGCCAGTGTAGCACAAGGGCAGAGAAACTGGGAAACAGTTCACTGGTGGAGTAAACTTATTCAAACAGTTTGCGACCTTACTTGCCAGTGTCCTCATTGACTTTCACCCTGCGAACTTCCCATAAGCAAAGAGTTTGCTATCAGGAAGCTGTCAGGAAACAATGGAAATGATGATCACATGACTGTGGCTGACCGTGGCAGTGTGGCAGTAGAAGCAGCTACTGAAGCAGCAGTAGCACAGCAGTGCTAAAGAGACTACAACTTCCCCAAATTTTGCTCCCATGGGTGTCATAAGTCCAGGATTTAAGACACATTTTGTAAATTAGCTCATTGGTTTAAAAATTGTTGCCCTGCTTTGAGGCACCATTACAAACAAACAAATATGAGAGTTTTAGAAGTATATAGAGATTCTAATGGACACTCACTCTTGGAACTATTATTTATTTATTTATTTATTTATTTATTTATTTATTTATTTATCTATTATTTATTTATTTATTTATTTATTTATTTATTTATTTATTTATTTATTTATTTATTGGTTCGATTTATATGCCGCCCTTCTCCGGAGACTCAGGGTGGCTTACAATGCGTTAAGCAATAGCCTTCATACTTTTGTACATCCCTGCTTAGTTTTTATATTGGTAGATAAACAGTTTCTATAACAGCTACATGCCATACTTCTGTCTTATTCTGATATTCAGCCCTTGCTTAAAGATCAAACCATATTATTTGCAAACTAATCCTTGTGAGAAAAAATAAAATCAAAGTTGGTTACTTCCTTATAAGCACCAATAATGATTTGTGAGTTAAAAGAGATGCAAATCAATATATCCCTATCAAAATAACACACCCTTATTTACAATTCTACCTAGCTAGCTGGCTGGCTGGGAATGTGGGCGTTTGCAATTGCATCCCAGTCAGAAGTATCAGACACTGCATTACAATTTCAAAGTATCCCATGTTTCTGAAAAACCATTGTATCCCTGTTGGTTTATGAGAAAAAAGTCCAAATGTTGCTGGGTGATATTTCTAATATGATTAACAGAAATAGCAAGAACATATGCAAATCTGAGTTTTTCAGAGTGTCCTAGCAGGAAAGATGATATAAAAACAGGAGGTACAGGAGAAGCAAGAAAGTTGAAAAAATGAGAATAGATTTTTAAGCTATAAGACTTTCAGTTTAATACCATTTGCAGTATGGAGGACAGATTAATCCCTAGTGGCAACAGAAAAAAGAATGAAATCAAGAAAGCTTTTTCAAGTGTGCTGAAAACATGTGTTCCTATTCTTATCAGCCTTCCATCTAAAGTCAGTGGTGGGTTGCCCCCGGTTCGCACCGGTTCTATAGAACAGGTAGTAAAGATAAGTAGAACCCACCCCTGTCTAAAGTGGAGTAGCAATAGCACTTAGACTTATATACTGCTTTATAGTGCTTTTACAGCCCTCTCTAAGTGGTTTACAGAGTCAGCATATTGCCCCCAATAATCCTCATTTTACCGACCTCGGAAGAATGGAAGGCTGAGTCAGCCTTGAGCCGGAGAGATTTGAACTGCCGAACTGTAGCTAGCAGTCAGCTGAAGTAGCCTGCAGTGCTGCATTCTAACCACTGCACCACCTCGGCTCTAATCAGTAGCTAATCCTACTGATGACTCAGCCACTTTTTACCCATGATCTTATCTGACAAGTATTGGCAGACCAACCAACCAAACTGTGGTGTCAAAGAACAAGCAACAACCTGCTATTGACCACATTCCCCAAACCCAAACTTCAGTGTTTCCTTTATATCCTTCCATTGATAATGCAGAATCCCAAAGACAGGGACTCTCTTCTCATACCCAAGTGCTTTAGCTGCTTTTATCACCTCAACAGATCTTGGTCATTTAATTATGCTCAGAACACTGAAGGGCAAAGCATCCTCAGTGTTTTTCAGTTCTGCAAGTTTACAACCTGCATCCACCATAGTGCTTTTTGTCTGGTGTCTTTGAAGGAAACATCAAGCAGAATTATAGATATGGATTCAGTGCATTCAAAGGATGAGATTTCACTGAAAGAGACCTGTTCTTTATCTTGATGTTTCATTTTTTTACTAAGTAAGGCATTGGAAAACAGTAAAAATTAAAAGGCAATCTTTCATAGTCACAACAACAATACGTATAAATTCCTGGAAATGCTCACCCTGGTTCATTCACTGGATAAAATAAATCCATTATCCCAATATAGTAATATCTCATGAAGACCAATTTCAAGATGAACTGGGCATATAGATGAAATGGTTCCTATTTCTTGAGAATAAGAAGCACCTTGCTGGGAAGTACCCAGCCTAGCAGAGAGGAGGGATCAAGCATGGAGTTAGCCTGGAATCCCTGCACAACCACAAAAGGGCTAGGACTGACTTATCCCCCTTAGAACTTCCATCAATCTCTTACACTGAGGAGATTCTTGTATGATAGGCAGAACTTAATAAAATGCTTAGCTTGAATTCTTCATGTATGGGTCTGGTTATTCATGCCTGACACAACTAGACAACCTGTAACCCCTTGGATCATTATTTCAGACATATTTCCTGACCAGATTTCTCAATGCCTTCAATAATGGCAGAGCGTCTAATGGACTTGAAAGGTTCTTAAAATATGCAGGGAGATATTCATAGATGTATCTGCCTTGAAAGTAGCCCATGTTGAACTGTATAGCACAGTCAAATATCAGGAGTTAACCAGAGGAAATGTTTTATGACACTTGTCATATGTCATAATATGTCATATGTCACACATATATGTCACAAAATGCTTTATAATAGTTTTATGTCATAACATGTTTTACAAAATTTGCCAAATTTCAATTACCCAGGTGTTATGGATCCCAGATTTTGGATGCATTGTGTAAGTTAATTCATTTAGGTGCCTTAATTGAAAAGGTTTTGCCCTATGATGCACTATTTTGCACAGTTAAAGTCTACACAAAACTTTTAGCAGTACAGCGTACAATTCAAAGTCTGTGGATCAGAGGCAGTCATGTTTTGGTACCAGGACCGAGAGTATTCACAATTATAAAAATGTAACAGCATATCAAAGAATAGACTTGTCTTTAATATTCTGCCAAATAATTTAGCCCTTAGTTCCTTAGTTTTCACCTTAAAGGGTCTTCTCCTCCTGAATTGGTACCTTTTTAAAAAACAATAATTAGATCTATTTTTACACTGTAGTATCTCATCTTAAGTTCTCAACTGGAGTTCAAAATTGGCTGACAATTTGACAGAAGAAATACAGATTTAAATCTGTTAAATTACTCAAGGAACTTTAACTAAAGGAACTATAATCCTGTGTAAGTCTACAAGTAGAATTCAGGGCTTAATTCCAAGAAAATCTATAAAGATTTATAGCCTTAATATAAGTGATTTAGCCTTTTAATAGATTGATTAATTCAGTTACATGTTTCTATATTTGCAAATGAGTAAACCAAGCCTATTTCTGAATATGTATGTCTGTGAACTTAAATATATGTAATTTTTTCACACGATCCTAGCACATAAATAGCAGTAGGCATTACTTTAGAAGACAAATTCATTTGTCTGCAAAACCAACAAGGAAATGAAAATTTTAAAGTTAGGTTTGCCACCTACCATTTTATAAGAAGTTCTATTAATGCATTTTTAAAATTGGGATACTTTAACTACTTATTTGGCTACAATTTTACATGTGCATAATTATTTCATTAAAATAAATAATAGTTTCAAATTAATATGTATTAGATTGCATACTTTATAATGAATTAATATAATCTATTTATTCAAATAGCTCCATAAAAAGACATTGAAAACATATATATGTTTAATCAGAAATATAAATGATATATTTTATCATTTAAATTAAATTTAAATGTTGATTTAAATTAACCTTTTACAATCTGGTACCTCTGAAGATGAAGTGGGTTGGAATTACAACTTCTAGAATGCCATGCTAGCATAGTCTTTGATCATATTGGTTGGCATTCTAGATCAGAGTTCTAAACTTCAGCAATTTTAAGACAGCGACTTCTACTTCCCAAAATTATCTAGCCAGCATCTTAAACTTGCTGAGGTTAAGAAAACTAGTGTAGATGGTGGAGGTTTGGTATATCTGGATGGCAGCTACTTGGCCCAGTTTGTTTAACCTATCAAACATCAGCAACCTAAATTTTAGTATCTCTCCCTTTGTTCTACACTTGGTTACATATCCAAACTAATAGTGCTAATTGAATAATATAAATATCTTGAAGATTTGGAGAAGCCATCCTTATCTTTTTGCATACCTTCTTAGAACAATCTTTGACAAATATAAAGGAATTTAAATCTGACCTCAGGAAAAGTATAAGCAAGGCATTAAAAGGTGTCTTGGAAAGACCGAGACAGAAGGAAGTATGAAACTCAAAATAACCCTGACTTACTCTTGTTTTGTATAAGATGAGACAGAGAGAAACTTGGACAAGATTCTGTTATTTATACACTACAACAATAAAATAGCATTCCTGGAAACTCTGTGGTGTCTATGTTTTGACCCAGCCCACTTTGAAGACATGACAGGAATCTAAGATTTGTAGAAATCTCCATCACCTGATAAATATTCAGAAAAAATGCCTTTGGGAGGGCATCCCAAAATAGCTCAGCAGGGACTGACATGCTCCTGAAATGAGGCAAGCTCGTGACTCTTGAGGGAGAAGGGAAGGAAATCACAAGGGAGAGGTTAGCAAAATGGAAGAAAGACTGCAGGAACCAGAATATTCCATTTTTCTTTCCTTTTTCAGCTCTCAAATTTATCTATTTTTCTGTAGCCAAAACTACAGGGCCCAAAATATGAGGAAAATAAAATTAAACAGCAACAAAAAGTGGGAATAGGAGGAATAGGAATTAAGAAAATGTGATGGATTATAGTAAGAAGGTGGACTCCCAGGAGGGACATGGTGTATTTCAGAGGACTAAGGGGCAACTCAGCTCAGATATCATGTGAGAAAGAGGATGAAGTCAGCCCTTCCTAATAGTTCACAATGTATATTGTAGATCAGAGGTCTTCAAATGTGGCAACTATGCTGGCTGGAGAATTCTGGGAGTTGAAGTCCACAAGTCTTAAAGCTGCCAAGTTTGAAGACCTCTGTTGGAGATGAAGATAGCAGAGTCCTTAGTCTGGCAAGATTTTGTCTACAGTGTTAAACAATAAAGAACTAAGCTTAGAAGAATGACTACATGTCATTCTTGGGTTTGGGCCTGACAGATGAGAACGAATGGTGTAGACTGTCTGAACCAACATAACGCCAAGGACAAACTTCTTGTATTTTACCAGTTTCCTGAAAGACAGGCCCTTTTGCTCTTTCTCTTTTACTATGTGTCCTCACACTTATAGTTTATTGAAGTATACTTCAATTTAGTATACACAGCTGTGTGATGTGAATTATTGTTTCATAGAAAGGGATTGTTTGGGGAACATTATCACCTTGTTGCTAGCATCATCATGAATGTTCAAAATGACTGAAAAAAACATGTTCAGAAAGACAATAATATAGATTAGATCATATTTATTCTCAAGACCTCACATTTTCCAGATGTTTTTTGCAATGACAATTAGGATCTAAACACAACTAAATGCCTATTAAAACAGGAAGGAAGAAATCTTGATCATGTTGGAACATTCTCGAATCAGAACCTGTGGACATCTTAGCTTCCAGCCTCACATTCTTGCCACATAATCATACCTCTCTGAGCTGTGTTTTCCAGTAGTTAATACAGCCCATAATTTACTTTAACAAGCTTCTCAGGTGAACAGCATGAATTAACAAGTATGATCAGCAGACACACTCATAATCTATAAGCCCCACCTCTGTTGGAAAGCTCTGCAGGAAGTTGTTGCAAAGAAAGTAAACATTAAAGCACATTAAAAGAAGGGAAACATACAGAGTATGCATGATCAGCAGTAAAGGAAGCAGAAAAATCCTTGCCCACTGCAATTCCATTACTGATTCAAAGTCGGAAATAGACAAAGAATTAAATATAATTTCATAACATAAAGGGCATTTGCATATGTGTGCTTTCTCTCCCTCTCCACCCACCAGCAAATCTGTATGCTCTTGCTGTTTTTGTCAGATAAATTAAAGCACCACTGCACCATTTTAAGCTCTGCCCATTTTAGGCATCTGGGTCATGATATAAATAGGAAAAGTTATGATTTGCACGCACTTATACAAACATACAAAAGAAGTGGAAACATCTGCAAAATACTTGTCTCTACTTGTCTCTCAAAAATTGGTTTTATTCTGTTTAACAGATGGCCCTTTCTAATTAGGAAAGAGCTGGAAGAAATGTATTTCTTATGGAAATACATATCTGAGTATTTCTTCTATAACAATGAGCATGCACCTGAAATTCTTCAAATACCTGTTCTTCTGGGTTGTCATGTCAATAAAGATCATACACACTAAATTCATCTCTCCCTTTAACTTATGAATTCTTGGACCAAATTTCCATCTAGATAGCCAAAATAAGCTTTGAAAACCAGCAAGCAATTTGTAGCACCATCAACACCTTATTTCTTGTATAAAATATTATTCTTTTCTCATGAATAATATATATTTTAATCTCATTTAACTGATATCTTAACTGGCACTGTTCCAGTGTTTTCTTACCATCCAAAACTAAGTTTAGTATTTCATAGCAAGGACAAGCTAACAGGGTAGACTCACAAAGAGCAGAAATGCAAAGCATTTGAAAGATCCTTTCAATTCAAAATAAATACTAATTTCTGTGAATGATAAGGAGTGATGAAATGGTAGGAAGAGGGTAGGAATATAGATAATGGTAGGATAAAAAGAGTTAAGTGCCAGTTGCTCTATTGGTCTATTGCAATGATGGCTAACCTTTTCGAGACTGAGTGCCCAAAGCGTACCCAAACCCCCAAACTGCAATGCGTGTGCGCCCGGTGCAAGCGCCCCGCCCCCACACATACACGGTTTCCCCCCGCATGTGCCCTTCTCCCGTGCATGTGCATGTGTTCCCGCTGCATGCGCTCCATCCTCTGCACATGGTGGCAGAGACCCGAAGATCAGCTGGCCAACTGGAGGTAACTGCATATGTGCAGCAGAGCTGAACTGAGGCGATGGTTTCCATGTCCATAGAGAGGGCGCTGCATGCCACCTCTGGTACACGTGCCATAGGTTCACGATCACTGGTCTATTGATACCTGACAATCATCTATATACTACTAAAATTCTTATGTCCGTAAATTTTAACAGATTAAAATGGTGTATCATAGGGCAATTCCCATGGAATTGAAACTTGGCAAATTTTATTAAACATTTTATGGCATAAGATTATTATAAAACATTTTACGACATAAAATTATCATGAAGCTTTTTATGACATAACACAAAATGTCATAAAACATTTCCTGTGGTCAACTCCTGATGTTTGACAATTCATTATGAGCTACTTTCAAGGCAGATACATCTCTGACTATTTCCCTGAATTTTCAAGAGCTTTTCAAGACCATAAGAAGCTCTGCTACTGTTAAAGGCACTAAGGAATCTGGTCAGGAAATATCCAAAGGGTCACAAATTCTCTAATATTTTCTAAAGGTGGATTCTCAGGGTGGCTATTCCATACAGGGAATTCTGGGATTGCTGTGTATCAAGTTGCACCTA